TACAATTTCTCGTACAGTTGAACAACTCCCATAGTCTTTAATTTCCAAATTAACCAATCTTCATAAACTTTCTGGAACATTATAATTATTCAATATGCAACTTGCTTTCCGCTCTGCATACTAGAATAGAGACAATGCCAAGACCGCAACCGTGTATGTTCTAGTTATGCTGTCGGCAGCTTGTTCATGTTACAACCATCCACTCCTAATAAACTTTTGCATCATTCATTTGATGTCTTTGTCATTTATCCAGTTGCACAGTCACACAACATCACCCATAAATAAACTTACTCTATACATTAAAAATCCATCGCACGTCAGTCTCTATGAGAGGGGAGACGCACAAACGACAACGCATGGTAACCAGTTAAAATACTTTGTCATACCTGGCATTGCAGCAGCAGGGTATTCTAAGATGTTTTTTAGTCCTGCCTTTTGTCTCAAGCAGCAGTTTTTTCATCCAAGTTGCCCTGCACTCTTGCCATTTTTACGTCACCTCCTCTCCCTTACAGCACATTATCAGAACAGCCGGCTTATGGCATTCAAAATACTAGTAATGCTGTCGCCGCTTTCAGTCTAAAGATGTTATGCTCAATTAATCACAATCAATTACAAAGAAGAAATGAGACAAACATAATTACACTTGCTATATCATACCGGGATAAAACCCTAAACTATATCAAATCAAAGTATTGTGATTATATTAAGCTTCAAATTTTGTAACTGGAATTTGTAAACATCTATCCTAAATAAATCCGGACAAAGCTTGGCTGCCTACATATGAATGTGGAGCGTGTTTGTTTGGAATGTGTTTCTGCACCATGGTCAAGTGGGAACCAATTCCTCCTGTGTGTTCACTCATATTCCATTCACACACTCGCTTCCATTTGGATGTATGGTATCTGTAAATGCTCTGTCAATATAAAGGAAAAAAAAGCTCTCAATATAAAGGAAAAAAGTTTCCTTTTATATTAATTTGTCGACGGTAGTATAATTTTGTTTTTTGGTTTCCTCCTTTCGTTTAATCAAAATATTTAATTTTGTCGACGGTAGTATAATTTAATTTTCGGTTTTTTCCTTTTAATCGGGATATATTTAATTTTGTCGACGGTAGTTGTTCTAAAATAACATAAATAGAATTTTTTCTTTTTTTTCCTTTTTCCGTTTAATCAAAATATATTATTTTGTTTTGTTTTGGTCCTAGTATAATTTAATTTTTTGGTTTTTCCGTTTAATCAAAATTTTGTCGACCCTAGTTTAATTTAATTTTTTGTTTCCGTTTTATATTTAATTTTGTCGACGGTAGTATAATTTTGTTTTTTGGTTTCCTCCTTTTTTCTGTTTAATCAAAATATATTAATTTTGTCGACGGTAGTATAATTTAATTTTCGGTTTTTTCCTTTTAATCGGGATATATTTAATTTTGTCGACGGTAGTTGTTCTAAAATAACATAAATAGAATTTTTTCCTTTTTTTCCTTTTTCCGTTTAATCAAAATATATTATTTTGTTTTGTTTTTGGTCCTAGTATAATTTAATTTTTTGGTTTTTCCGTTTAATCAAAATTTTGTCGACCCTAGTTTAATTTAATTTTTTGTTTCCGTTCTATATTTAATCTTTGTCGACGGTAGTATAATTTAATTTTCGGTCTTGCGCGAGCATTTGTACCTGGCCCTTATAATCTCTGCATACAGCAACAAGAATGGCAGTGGTCTTCATCTCCACCACGTTTTGGTTCTTGTGCCTTTGAATCGAATCCTGGGGCCTCCTAGCTGATGTCCGTGTTTTATTACTGATGTTTTTATGCTTGATGCCCTATAACTGCCACTACCTTCCTCAATGGTCTGCAAAACCGTCTATGATGATCATATTTAATGCCTTATACTGTATATCGTTCTTGATGTGCCTCCCGTTATGCCCTGTGCCATATTACTGATGTACTTATGCTTGATAATCCACAACACTACCCATTATGACGTCTATTGAGCAAATCCTGTTAACTGATGCCCTTATGCTTGATACTCTAAAATTTCTCTCTGCCACTACACCATCCACGATGCTTACGTCAACCGTCCTACGATGTACTTGATACTCCTCTTGATGTCCAGAGCTAGCGTAATACATATACTGACTGAAGCTGCTTCCAAGCCTTCGTGTCCCTGTGCACGATCACCTGGCCAGTTTATACTGCCCCCAGCCAAGCCTTTCGTGCCCCCTGTGCACGATCACCTGGCCGGTTTTACCGTGCCCAGCCCCACACTAATTCACCCACACATTATGCACTGGTTTTTCGGCAAGTTACTTTATCAACTGTTAGCCTTTCTCCTAATCTTCACTTCAATTAATACAACTCTGTCATGCGCATCTCTGCTGATATGCATTCCTCCCAATACAACGAACAGAACAAGTTTGTCTCGTATACCAGGAGCCCTGTCTAAAATCATGTGCAGCCTAGGTGAGCAAACTGACTATACTATCCAAAACAACGAACAGGACATGTTTGTCTCGTATACCGGGGGCCCTGTTTAAAAACCATGAGCAGCCTAGGTGAGCAAACAGACTCGACTCTATCTCGGTATGATTATCATGCAGATGATGACTAAAAGTACTGCATGCTTTTTGTAAAAGTCTTCCAAAGTCTCCGTCTAGGATACTCTTCATAATTATCCTCACGATCTCTATTAACAAACTAATTTCCAAATTAACCAATCTCTATCAACTTCCTGGAGCATTATAATTATTCAATATGCACATGCATTCCGCTCTGCATACTAGAATAGAGACAATGCCAAGACCGCAACCGTGTATGTTCTAGTTATGCTGTCGGCAGCTTGTTCATATTACAATTTCTCGTACAGTTGAACAACTCCCATAGTCTTTAATTTCCAAATTAACCAATCTTCATAAACTTTCTGGAACATTATAATTATTCAATATGCAACTTGCTTTCCGCTCTGCATACTAGAATAGAGACAATGCCAAGACCGCAACCGTGTATGTTCTAGTTATGCTGTCGGCAGCTTGTTCATGTTACAACCATCCACTCCTAATAAACTTTTGCATCATTCATTTGATGTCTTTGTCATTTATCCAGTTGCACAGTCACACAACATCACCCATAAATAAACTTACTCTATACATTAAAAATCCATCGCACGTCAGTCTCTATGAGAGGGGAGACGCACAAACGACAACGCATGGTAACCAGTTAAAATACTTTGTCATACCTGGCATTGCAGCAGCAGGGTATTCTAAGATGTTTTTTAGTCCTGCCTTTTGTCTCAAGCAGCAGTTTTTTCATCCAAGTTGCCCTGCACTCTTGCCATTTTTACGTCACCTCCTCTCCCTTACAGCACATTATCAGAACAGCCGGCTTATGGCATTCAAAATACTAGTAATGCTGTCGCCGCTTTCAGTCTAAAGATGTTATGCTCAATTAATCACAATCAATTACAAAGAAGAAATGAGACAAACATAATTACACTTGCTATATCATACCGGGATAAAACCCTAAACTATATCAAATCAAAGTATTGTGATTATATTAAGCTTCAAATTTTGTAACTGGAATTTGTAAACATCTATCCTAAATAAATCCGGACAAAGCTTGGCTGCCTACATATGAATGTGGAGCGTGTTTGTTTGGAATGTGTTTCTGCACCATGGTCAAGTGGGAACCAATTCCTCCTGTGTGTCACCAGCAACGCCCGCCAAATCTGCAGACTCTCCTAAGGGGTCAGCAACAGCTGATGGCAGCCACCACGCCCACATACGGGCACATGCAAGAGCCGCAAAATCCGCAGACGTTTCCTAAGGACAAGCAGGCACAGCAGCAGCGATCGATGGTGCCCCCAATGGACGACATTGGCACGAAAAAGCAGCCGCCAATTCAGCATCCTGTCCTTAAGGGACAGCAGCTTCTCCGGCAATGGGACATTGTTGTCAAAACAGCCTCCCTTGGCCAGGCGCAGCTACTCCAAAATGAGCAGAATGCCCAGCCGGCCAAGCAGGTACGCAATACGGCAAATAAATGCCAGCAAATGCAGACGCATATTGCACACTCGGCCAAATTGGAGCGGCGACGAGTACGCAGGCAACAGATGGCAACCCAGAGGCCATTTATTCAGCCCATCAGCCGCCGTACATGCAAGCAAAACAGAAATGTTAAAAAACGCAAAATGAAAATAATGCCATGCTTTCACTTACCTGCCATACTGGACAAGCGAATGCATCAGCAGCCAGCCCAGCACAATTGGAAACAGGCCAAACGTCATCCACTCGACGCTGAGTGGCCGGACACAGCGCCACCCGATCGTGCAAAAATGATGCAGCGCAAGCTGCATATCACTCAGCCTTCGGGCAATAAAATGCGCTTTGGGAGAGGCGCAAATACGGCGATCCACTTTCCATGCATCCTGGGAGCGTGGTTAGTGTTGACCATTGCCAGTCATCAGCTCCAGCAGCAGAAGATATACACACCCAAAGTGGTGCATCATCCAGCAAAGTTAGCAACGGCCATCACGCAATGCAAATTGCAATATTGTGTACCAATAAGTCGGCCATGTACCCGATGGAAGCCAATTGTCCATCGAAAGGCCAGAGGCAGACGACCAGTGCATCGTAAGGCGGTGCGGTATAGAATATAGTAATTTATTAGTTATATTTAGTCATAAAATTGTTAAATTTAAAATTTTCAACCACTTACATGTACTCAGCGTGCCCCTTTTGTACTTATGTATACTTGCCATTCACACGACAGCATTGCCAGCTGATCGTGCAGAGATTTCCCCTAGCTAACGGACCTAAGACAATATGTTAAATGTACAGAATATGTTATTTTATGTTATGTTTAAATGTAGGTCAGTCGAGATTAAATGTTAAATGTATCTCATGTCATGTTCCTCTCCACCTTGCAAACTGGAGAATGTTGCATAATATTAAGCGCCAACTCTGTTTCTAAAATTTCTGTTTGCATACCAATAAGTAGAAATGAGTAACAATAAAAGACGTCTCTGGAAAAAGACCTCTGGCGAGAGCGGTGATAACAGCAGTGGAATTTGTATTTTCAGCCGTCGTAACAAAATGTCGTGATTGGTTGCTGTATGGCGGCCTGGACATAGGGAAACAGTTATGTTACCGCTTTATTTTTAAACTATGTTTTCAAACTCGTAAACTTACCTTATTTTAATTTAATAATGACCAAGATGGGACGCCATTTCAATCTGCGAACTAAGCCTGTATACATTGTTGAACAGCAACAGCGGCATATTTATTTGAACCAGTCGTCATAGTAAAATGTCCAGTGTCCGGTTGCCCTATGGCGGCCTGGACATAGGGAAACAGCCTTGAGACCGCTTTATTTATAAACAATTAAGAGCTCGTAAACTTTATTTTCATTTCACAATGGCCAAGATTGGACTCCATTTATATCTGCGTAGTAAGCGTTACCGATGCTATTATTTGTTTAGGCGGAAATATGTATATTGTTCAATTGAATTATAGGAGAGCAATCGAAAAGCAAACAGCTAAAAAACCATTTATAAAAAATTTGTTGTTGTAACTTACCAGCAGAAGAAAATCGTGGCGTATTCCAAGTAACAAAAGCAACCTAGTCCACAGAGGCGGCTAAAGCAACATTGGCAGCCTGAGCATTTTGAGCGGAGGAGTTAGTTACGTTTACGAACTCGTAAACTTACTTAATTTTAATTTCACAATGTCCAAGATGGGACGCCATTTATATCTGCATAGTAAGTGTTACCGATGCTATTATTTGTTTAGGCTGAAAAAATAAATAAAAGTCCATATGTATATTGTTTAATTGTATTATCGGAGAGCAATCGAAAACTAGGAATAATTGACACTTACAAGTTGTTACACATTATTCAAATAAGCAAGATCCGGCCTCAGAAGCGCGGCTGAAAATAAATAAAATTAGAGATGCTACTTGCATACATTTTTTTGGTTTAATGCCAGTCGAACTAACGATAAACTTTCAGCAACATATGAGCGAAGCTATGTACAGTTGAATGACCAAATATAGATGGCGCCATATCAATGTGCGTCTAATGCAAAATAATCAGCTACAAAGCCATTTATAAAAAATTTGTTGTTGTAACTTACCAGCAGAAGAAAATCTTGAAGTATTCCAAGTACCAAAAGCAGCCTAGCCCTCAAAGAGGCGGCTAAAGCAACATTGGCAGCCTGAGCACTTTGAGCGGCGGATTTAGTTACGTTTACGAACACGTAAACTTACTTCATTTTAATTTCACAATGTCCAAGATTTACCGATGCTATAATTTGTTTAGGCGGAAACGATGTAAAAGTCCATATGTATATTGTTTAATTGTATTATAGGAGAGCAATCGAAAACTAGGAATCATTGACACTTACAAGTTGTTACACATTATTCAAATAAGCAATCTCCGGCCTCAGAAGCGCGGCTGAAAATAACTAAAATTAGAGATGCTAATTGCATACATTTTTCTGGTTTAATGGCAGTCGAACTATCGATAAACTTTCAGCAACATATGAGCGAAAGCAATGTACAGTTGAATGACCAAAAATAGATGGCGCCATATCAGTGTGCGTCTAATGCAGAATAATCAGCTACAAAACCATTTATAAAAAATTTGTTGTAACTTACCAGCAGAAGAAAATCTTGAAGTATTCCAAGTACCAAAAGCATCCTAGCCCTCAAAGAGGCGGCTAAAGCAACATTGGCAGCCTGAGCACTTTGAGCGGCGGACTTAGCTACGTTTACGAACACGTAAACTTACTTTATTTTAATTTCACAATCTCCAAGATGTACCGATGCTATAATTTGTTTAGGCGGAAACGATATAAAAGTCCATATGTATACTGTTTAATTGTATTATAGGAGAGCAATAGAAAACTAGGAATAATTGACACTTACAAGTTGTTACACATTATTCAAATTAGCAAGCTCAGCAGCGCGGCTGAACATAACTAATTTTAGAGATGCTAATTGAATACATTTTTCTGGTTAAATGCCACTATCGATAGAAAAACTAATCGAATGCTCTCGATGGGGAAACTATTGGACAATAAACCTTGTATGGTAATCATTTCGTAAGTTAGTCAGGACAAACTATTTTACATCTAAAGTAGGTCTTGCTATTTATTCTAACCAGAGTTTCTCAACCAAATTGTTTAGTCGACACAATATATTCCGTACCAAATTGACAGTTGTTATTGTTTCCAAGTGTTGTTTTAAAAGGAAGATCTAAAAGGCTGCTGCTGCCTAGCCATCCGGTGAGCAAGTACTCCTGATGGTGTGCATTCGATGCCTGCCCAGGCCTGAAGCTGCTCACGTGTCCGGTGGCAGAACATGCCGAGTCCACGCTTTACCCGCTGCTTTAAGTAATTGTTAATCATATATGTAAATGCAAGCAACACAAAGTTTTATACCTGTTGTCGTCTATCCTATCATGGCCAGCTGCTCTCAGCAGCTCAGCTATTTCCTATATGCCTCTGGTACCTTTCATAGTAACCACCACAGCAAGAGCGGAGACCAATGCCTAATGCTGCATAAGACGAGGCAAATCTGCTTGCACATTTACACTTGCTAGCCTATACCCATCAATACGCTCTATTCTAAAAAATGAAATCCAGCTGGCTGCCAGTGTCTCCACTCGTTGGTTGGCTTCATACAGTCCACAGTTAATCATTGTCATAGCTTGTATTAGCAGATTAAATAAATGTGTTTTGAATTCTGCCATTTGTCCGAGTAGCTAGTTTTTACCGGACACTACTCCGCAGTCTTGCCATACTACACAGTTGACCTCCATTTATCAGCATTTATCCAACCAGATGGCTTATTGCATGTAATATTAATACTGTCTTCGCAATCCGGCTCTACATATTTTATGTATAACGCTTGTAAAATTTACTTTGTAATGTCGGATTTAATAAACATACCTTGCTTGCCAAATTTATATGAAAAACATACGCCTCACGCTTTCTAGACAGCGGTAAGCAACAATTCTTTGGTTGCCAATAGTTTTTTTGATGTACCACCATTAATGTTATCGGCCAGGGTATTAAATTGTAAACACAAACAAAAAAAAATGAGAAAACAACAAGTATTTTTTGAATATGGTTTTATTACCTGATACTTTTGTTTTTTTTTGTTTATGTGTCCTTGCGCCTTTGCTTTGTCGGACGCCTATGTAAACTGTAGCATTGTTGAGTCTCTGCTGATATAAAAAGAATGAAAAGTCAAACCTAAACTAGTTAGAGACATATTAAATTTAATTAAGAATTACGTAAACTTATTTAATTTTAATTTAATAATAGAATAGATGGTGAAATTGTAAATGTATATTAGAATTTACCAAACGATGTTATTATTATTTCTATTAAAGGAACTTTATTGTGATATAAAAACCTTGCAGTGTGATTGCGAAAATCAGAGATGCGCAAAACGGTATCGATTCATCGATATTTTAAACCAACAGATGCTGATCTTCAATTTAGAAGCAAATCTGCAAATCTTTTTTATATTCCATTAAATGTATTTTGAGAAAATTCAAAATTAAAACATTAATTTGTTTAAAGACAAGGTGAAAGTGTTAGTGATGATTAATTTAAATAAAGGGGAGTTTTATTTCCCATCATAGCGAACTAGTTACATGAATATCTCTAGTCAGATGCTTATTAAACTATCGATAGCCTGATTCGTAGAGAGAATGGATAGAGTACAATCGAGCGCGACTAACATCGGTCATACTCGGATCGATACAAATAATGTGTAATACCTAAAATTTGGTCTGAGTGAAATGCGTTAACATTAACAAGGCTCTTATCGTTGTCATATAGGTCACAGCATGCCCATGCAAATTTAATTTTTTTTGTTCCTACTTTATTTGGTAAAGTTCAACAACTAGTCTCTCACAAATATTTTCTTTTGGCTATGTGTTTAAAGTGTGCTTTAAAGTTTTTGCTCATTTGCTGGCAATAAGATCAAGGGACTCAAAGCTTGGTAATCCAGTCAGGGCGACCGCGACCCATATTTCGCACCAATTTCATTTAGGAAAAAAACACCGAAATAAAACAACAACATAAAACCGCTTTTGCATCAATACAAATGCTCACTAAGCTTCAGAGAAAGAAGTAAAAGATATCCCACAGAAAGCAGTCGTGCTGCTATTTTGAAGATGATTTTTCCTTAAGTTAACTGCGTGTTGACTGTTGTGCTAAGGCATACTTTCGCTTTTAATATATACATATGAGGGATATGTAGTACACAAATCAAATGAAACTTTATAATTAATATTGTAAATACCCATTCATATTATATTTCTTTGCTGTCTTTAAAGTCATTATTATTATTTTTTCAATAATAAATATTTATTGAGAAGCCATATCTTACACATGCTTCATAGTTCAATAGCTTTTGCACTGTTAGCTTACAAGTACTGTAAATTAGTTTAGGCCACAATGAAATACACTATGTGGACTTATGCATTAATATGTAGGTGTTGTCTTTTTATACCCTTGCAGAGGGTATTATAATTTTGTCGTGAAATGTGTAACGCATAGAAGGAGACATCTCCGACCCCATGAAGTATATATATTCTTGATCAGTATCAACAGCCGAGTTGATATAGCCATGTCCGTCTGTCTGTTTCTATGCGAACTAGTCTCTCAGTTTTAAAGCTATCTTTTTGAAACTTTGCAGAAGTCCCTCTTTCTGTTGCACGCAGTTCATATGTCAAAACCAGCTGGATCGGACCACTATATCATATAGCTGCCATAGGAACGATCGGTCGAAAAGTAGGTTCTTGTATGAAAAACATTTTTGTTTATAAAGTTATCTTTACTAAACTTGGTATTTATTAGTTTTACTACGTTCCCCATATATATGCAAAATCCTATTAAGATCGGACAACTATATCATATAGCTGCCATAGGAACGATCGGTCGAAATTTAAGTTTTTGTATGGAAAATTTTTATGTTTTTCAAGATATCTTGACCAAACTCGGTATTTATTAGTTTTACTACGCTCCCCATATATATGCAAAATCCTATTAAGATCGGACAACTATATCATATAGCTGCCATAGGAACGATCGGTCGAAAATTATGCTGTTGTATGGAATTTTGTTTGTTTTTCAAGATATCTTGACCAAACTCGGCATTTATTAGTTTTACTATGCTCCCTCCACTTATGCAAAATCTTATTCACATCGGGCTACTATATCATATAGCTGCCATAGGAACGATCGGTCGAAAATTAAGTTGTTGTACGGAAACCTGTTTTGTTTTTCATGAGATCTTAACCATACTCGGCATTAACTATTTTCCCTGTGCTTCTTAGATACGGGCAAAGCACTATAAGCATTTTGAAAAGGTTGGGTCTGCAAGGGTATTAAATCTTCGATGTGCCGAAGATAGCACTTCTTTCTCGTTATACCCTTGCAGAGGGTATTATAATTTTGTCGTGAAATGTGTAACGCATAGAAGGAGACATCTCCGACCCCATAAAGTATATATATTCTTGATCAGTATCAACAGCCGAGTTGATATAGCCATGTCCGTCTGTCTGTTTCTATGCGAACTAGTCTCTCAGTTTTAAAGCTATCTTTATGAAACTTTGCAGAATTCCCTCTTTTTGTTGCACGCAGTTCATATGTCAAAACCAGCTGGATCGGACCACTATATCATATAGCTGCCAAAGGAACGATCGGTCGCAAAGTAGGTTCTTGTATGAAAAACATTTTTGTTTATAAAGTTATCTTGAATAAACTCGGTATTTATTAGTTTTACTACGCTCCCCATATATACGCAAAATCCTATTAAGATCGGACAACTATATCATATAGCTGCCATAGGAAAGATCGGTCGAAAATTAAGTTTTTGTATGGAAAATTTTTATGTGTTTCAAGATATCTTGACCAAACTCGGTATTTATTAGTTTTACTACGCTCCCCATATATATGCAAAATCCTATTAAGATCGGACAACTATATCATATAGCTGCCATAGGAACGATCAGTCGAAAATTATGCTGTTGTATGGGATTTTTTTTGTTTTTCAAGATATCTTGACCAAACTCGGCATTTATTAGTTTTACTATGCTCCCTCCACTTATGCAAAATCTTATTCACATCGGGCTACTATATCATATAGCTGCCATAGGAACGATCGGTCGAAAATTAAGTTGTTGTATGGAAACTAACTATTTTCCCTGTGCTTCTTAGATACGGGAAAAGCACTATGAGCATTTTGAAAAGGTTGGGTCTGCAAGGGTATTAAATCTTCGGCGTGCCGAAGATAGCACTACTTTCTCGTTTAAATTATGATTGTCTTACAATTTTCATCTTTTCGCACATAACCCGAATAATTACCTATAACATTTTAATGACAAATCGAGATACTCTACGCATCGGACTGTCGTAATAAGGGTTCCTATTGTCTCCTTATAGACCTAAACGAAAATACACATTCCCATATACACACTTTTGCACAGCTACCCTTTAATATAATTTTGATAGGTATAGGGTATATTAAATTACAGTTTCAATTGTTCCCTCGTATTCATTACTTTTATATTATATAACACTAAATAGCGTAATATGTATTTTTAAACATATAACACTAAATAGCGTAATATGTATTTTTAAACATTTTACAACAATCTGATCTTTGTTCTGTTCTTTCTTAGTTGGTGTTTTTGAGATTAAAATTCTTACATAATGACATTTTTCTTTCTGATATTTAAGCACATTTAAGTTAGAAAATATTCGAGCTTTGTGCACTTACAAATTGTAAATTCAATAAGTGGTTCCAGCATATACAGCTGTGAAAAAAATAATAGCACCACCACGACAAGCAATTTTTAAATCGTTGCCCAACTCACATTTTTAACGTTAAGGAAACCAAAAGCACATTTTTAGAAAGGGAAGACTCTTACAAATCTGGGAGTAAAAAAAGAATCATCCTTATTTTTAACGTTTTTAAGTTATTTAAGGAACTTTACTGAAATTGAAAAAATTGGGAGAAAAAAATAATAGCACCACTTTTCAAATATGGGTTTAAAATTAAAAAAATGAACGATAAGTACCGAATTCATTAGTTAACAATTTTGAACTATCAATACTAAATCTATATTCATCATTTAATATTTAGTACAGTGTCCTTTGTTGGCAATAACAGCTGCGCAGCGTCTTGGCATGGAATAAGCCAAGTCCTAGCATCGTTTTAGGGGAATTTTGGACCAGGACTCTTTAATTTCTTCCCAAAGTGATCCGATAGTGGTTGGCATGGAAGCAGCAACTGCCTTCTTCACGTCGGACCACAGATTTTCGATGGGGTTCAGGTCAGGCGACTGAGCAGGCCACTCCAAAACGTTCACAGAGTTCGCCCTGAACCATTCCTTTGCTTTCATGCTGGTGTGTTTGGGGTCATTGTCCTGTTAAAATACCCATAAGAGCAGCATTTCGTATTCTGCAAAGTGTAGCATTACTGTCTCCATGATATTCATGTACACATGCTGATCCATGATGGTTTTTATCCATGGTATTGGACCTACTCCATAGTAGGAGAAGCAGGCCCATACCATTACACTACACCCTCCATGCTGTATGGTTCTTGTGGTGTACTGGGGTTTGAATTCTGTGTTCTTTGGACGTCTAACGTATGACCGAGATCCCTTTCCACCAAACATACTCATTTGGACTCACTTTGGACTCATCTGACCATAGAATATTCCTTCATAGTTTAAGGCGTTTTTAATCATTTTAATAAAGCATCATACAAATTGACCAACTTCTCTGTAAGTTTTCCGTTCAATATCAATTTTTTGATAAGATAGCGCTTTTCCGCAGTGCAGTGCTTTCCACGTCCCATTGTAATGATTATTATTAACTTTTATGATAGAAACAATTAAATCTTAGTTAAAACTAATAAACACGTGATTTCTACAAAGGCAATTCCGCGATATATGGGGGATACACTAAAAAAAGTGCTAATGGTGCTATATTTTTTTTCGCTGTTTTTTGGGGCTTTTTTCTTAAAATCTCCAAAAAAAATATATAGACCGAAAATTGAACAACGGTAACAATTTTTTTGTTTATGGGGAATACTAAACAATTTAAAAAAAATAAAGATTTAAAAAAATCGCAACAGTAATCCAATTTTTTTTTATCAAGTACAAAATGTGTTGTAGTGGTGCTATTATTTTTTTCTCAACTGTAGATATAGACAGGTGTGCATAAGTACACATATTTATACCCTGAACCCGTTGAAAATTTTCAAAAAGTGTATAATGGTTTTCTTAAATGTAGTATAAAGGTAGAAGAAAGCATCTCTGACCTATTGAAGTATAAATGTTCTTACTGTTTAGCTCTGTTTTTTTTTAAATTATTATTTATTTGCTTACCAAGTACTTAGATAAAAACTGTAGATAAAACGCACCTTTTAGCTTTACACAGCTACAAAGATTTTTATACGTATGTTAGAACACAATCTCTTATACCCTAGCTACTTTTATAAAACATTCTTTAATGGTTATATTATTCATATATGTTTATAAATATTTCGTAAATGTATTTCATAATTTAAACATGTTAAAATTCTCAAAGTTTTAAAACAGTTTTAAGCTTTAAAGTTTTAAATTGTACGTCTGATAAATTTAATCTAACCAAGGGTTTCATTTGTTTGTTTAGAGGTATCTTGGATGTCGTCCATGATACAGAGAAGATAAGAGCTGCTCATATTGTACTAGCTTCAAACATTCCAACAACTATTACGGGACTGTTATATCACCAGCAATATTTACACAGTTGCAACTGTGAGTATACAAAAATAACAATAGAACCATTATTAAATCATCAAGAGTTCTCTCAATTCAGATATAAATATGATCCAAATTGTAATAGAGTTCTGCTTATAGTAGTATCAGAATATCCACTAATAGCTTCACAACTACCTAACGGGGCCTATAATATGTAGCAAGAAATCAACATTTATTAACTGGAGATATGGAATTATATCAGCTGATGGTCGAGTACTTATTACATTATACATATATCTAGCAGACGGAATCAAAGATTATTAAAAATATATCACTGTCCGAAAGCCCAATCAACTTTCCGGAAAATACAACTAGCTACGATATTCAATAACAATGAAAATTAAGATCCACCAAACCAAAAACCAGATCAGATGCATCGACTGCGTGAAAAGCTTCAACGTTCGAGTGAAAATGCTACAGAAAGCTCGCTGGCATGGCCGTTCTGCGAGCGGTGCTGCGGAGAGAGACGGCAGCAACGGCAAGAGCAGCAGCAGCCTGGCATCGTAGCTTTTTATCGCTCGTGCATGGATTCAGTATCTGATTTGTCGTCGTATCGTTTTGTCTCCGATGAAGAGGAAGCCAATGATAATGTTGTTGATGCTAATGATGACGTTAGTGTTGGCTCGCTGTCGCTGCCGTGTGTAGAAATAGAACAAAAGAAGTCAAAAACATCAACTATAGCACAATACACAAAAACATCGGCAACGAATAAGGCCTCAAAAGTTGAGGTGCCGCACGCGTCAGCATTTTCTCTACCGGATGATATTCGCAGTGTGTTACCAATAATTCGTGGTTGTAATAATAACAAAGTTATTTTGCGGCAGACACAGGAGCAGCATTTACTAAAGGTCTCTACATCTTTTAGAAAAAATCATGCTCCAATTGGGCATAGTCCTAATGACTCGTGCCGTTGTAGCAGGGACTATAATTTTAGACCTTATTTACGTTGTGGTCGTCGGAATCCACAACCAGTGCAGCCCAAACCCAAATCTCGCCCTCGAATTTGCTTTGGAGTGACCGCTTGCGGTAGCAATCATATCGTCGAGCCTGCACTAAAAATACCCCGATTGGAAAGGTGTCAAAAGCATCGACATGTCCACCCATTGAGTTGTGTGCCGCTTAAAAAACCATTGGTGTTGACAAATACTCATTTTCTAAGACGTGGACCCAGAAGCTGCTCAGATTTAAAATACATTTACTCATACGGTAACGGCTGCACGCAAGTGACAGCTGAAAATAGCTCTGACTCAACGTCGCGTAAGAAATTGCAATGGAAATCAACATGCATACTACGCTACGATCGTAATGAACATCTTAAAAAAGACTTTAATCAAAAGAGAAACTCGGAACAAAAACAGAGGCTGAAAACAGCAGGGGAAACAGGAAATTTATCAACAAGCTATTTGGCTGCCACAATAAATAGGGACGAAACAAGTGAATATTTCAATATAGCACGGCGATTTAAAAATGAAGAAAGTAAATATATTGACTCTTATAAAAGGCTAAAGTCGAACGGGTTTGATTTATCGAAATCATATAGAACCAAAGCTAAATTAAAAATATCTGACGATAGTGCTGTCCATATAGATTTAAATTCACCAGATGAACCAATTACAAATCGTAGCGAAAAGTCATTGTTTTTTCATAATTTTGATAAGAGCTGTTCCCAATCGAACATTTCCTCTAATATTTCGTTGCATTGAACCTTCGCCAGCATATCGGTGGATAATTTAAGATATACCAACTGTTTCAAAGTGAAAAACTCAACACCTCAGCATACAAACACTCCACTGCAAATCAAGCATCTTCCAAGTATTCAAACTTTTGACAATTCTACAAACTGCGACAAAAATGTAAGTATTTACACTATTCAAACCAATTAGCTTATGTTCGAAAATATTACTAATACTTACACGTCAAAATATGTACGAAAAATACGAGCTTTAAGTACCGGTTTTTAAAATTGAATTTTTTAATGAACTAATATTATGTGTGTGTATGTATCTTATTTATTGTATTAGTCAAAATGATTAGCTTACCATTGATAGTAGAGTAATTGTTCTTTCGACCGCCTAAACAAAACTTCCTTTTAAATAAGCTCTGTAATATTTTTCACGAACAGAGAATCATTTACAATATAATTGAATTTAGCTGATGTCCACACATATGTGTACAGAAATGTGTTCATGCAAACGGAAACAAGGCACATGGGGGATGCAAGATTGTAAATTTGACTACGTACTTGTATTTACTTACAGACATTATTATGCATACAAACGTATATAGATGTGATATTTGTTCTACAATTTGTTTGAGATATTCTTGTTCTCTGTGGTGCTCTATGCTGTGATTTGTGTAAGATTCTTTTAATATGTTCACGGGTGCATACATATAAAGATATTTACAATTTTAGCTGCTCTTTACGCTCGCTCTCTTCTGTATTCAATATAAATTCTTGTTTATACTAAAAATATCACTGTGTGCGTATGTAGTGAGTTTTTTTCATTGTACACATATATTTATATGTATGTATATTTAAATCCGTAGCATTTTGCTTTTTGCCCTCTGTACTGCAAAATATAGATCTTAAGGTAATATAGAGCCCATTTTGTTCGAAAACCAACTACAACTATTATTTGCCGATTTAGACTTCTGTTAGAGCTCAAGAATTTGCCAAATTTTGTTAGTCATTAAATTTTGTTTATGTACTTATTGTATGATGCGAAACTTTCGAACTAGTTTCTCAGGCTTGAAGTTAACTTGATGATGCAGTGTAAACTGTGTTAACATTTAAGTTGAACACTCATTTAATAAATTTCTATTATTGAATTCTTTGTTTACAGCACACGATGGATAAACGACGTAACACCTTGGACCGATTTCAACGCATAGCTTTTGGGCGTAAATCTAAGCCTTCAGTTTCCTCTGAAGCTGCCTCTAATGAAGGTTGTAGGTCATTCGGTCCAGATAAACAATCTGGTTCAGAAAAACAGTGTAATCTTTCCGAAAGATCAGAGCGTCTTAAAGAACTGACAGAGCTTTTACGTGGTGGCAACATTTCATGTGCCTCCTCTACGCCAACACCCCCACCAGTACCACCGCCCCGCAAGCCTAGAATTTCTCATAATAATTCGACGACTAGTAGTACCGAAACTCATGAATGTCAGTTATCAACATGTGGCCTAGTAGATTCGGATCCAGGGATGACGACTGAATTACTAAAACAGATCAGCACAAATAGCAACAAGAGTGGCAGCGGGAGTATTAGCGTGCCCGCTACAGCCGCACGTATCTTACACTCAATTAGACCAAATACAAGTCTCTCCAACTTGGAAGCTTTCATGATGTGCACTCGCGAGAAGTCTAAATCACCGCCACCCTTTGCAGAAGATGATGCGGTCGAGCCAACCAGTACCGAGTGGGCTTCACAGCTGTCCAGACCAGAATCTCGCATTGGAAGCAGCACTAGCACTCAGAAAGGGATATTGCCATTCCGTTCTGTTTCGTTTTCACAAATTGACTGTAAATCAACTTTGAGTGCTTTGCGCGATCGACTACGGCGGGATAAGGCAATTGAAACACCCCCTCCTATTCAAAACAACACCAAAACCATAGAATCTGCGGATTTGTTGTGCGATCGATCGCGTATTCCGGAACCAGGTTGGGTGCATATACCACTCAAGAACACGGGTTTATCTATTAATTTAAACTATGGGCAGGAGAAATCTCTTGAACATGTTCTAGAAGATGTGCCTGATATCATAGGAGAAGAAGATATATTTAATACTGACAATTGCAGTATCGCTGGTGCTTTACCAGCAACTGCTAGCAGTGTTATTGCGGCTCACGCGAAAATGGAGTCGCTTTCGGATACTATACCCTCGGAAGGAGAATATAATATTAACAAGGATTGTGCGACGATGACAGTAAATAGGAATTTAACGCCCAATATAGAGGAACCCAAAGTTGACTCGGAATTTAGTTCACCCAACATAGGCAAACTTCTAGAGGAACAGTGTCTGATTGAGTCGTCATCCGATAATATTTTACAAACAGCAACCACTTGCCTTATACCTGTCCCGGTTTATGAATGTGCAGCTCAAGAGTGGCTTGAAACACCCACTCAAGAATGGGTTGAGTTAGCTCCAGAGTTTGATATTGTGCCCGAAATAATACAGCCACCTGTCTCGCATGCGGCATGCAAAATAATGCAAACAGAAACATTAACAACTCTACCCAGCAATTTATTGCCAAGAATATCTGTGAGTCGGAGCTCAGAAGAGGGTGATGAATGTGGAAAAGATATAATATTACCCCACGCTGAATTAATGTCCGATCGACATAATACTTGCGATTCAGTGGAAAACCAGCTTCAACAGTGTAGCCAAGAAGACCTTGTTTTGGAGCTGCAGAGTTCAGACACAATAGCTACACCCAGGCACAGCACTGGTGAGCGTCAAAAGCGTTACTTAGACAAATCCACAAAACGGAAGGGCATGTACATAGATAATTCAGACTGGCATCAGCCAGTTGCATTAGATATTTCTGTTGCCAATTTTCAGGCGAATAAGCCAGATTCCACAAATGAAACACAGATGTATACCAATAGTCCAATCATGTTTGAAATGAATACACCAGAATTGGAGAAGGCATCACCTACATGGAGAAGATCAAATGAAAAGTCTCAACTACTAAGCAGTTTTAGCTGCCAAAGTAGCGAAGAAAAGGAAGATGCAACTAACAATAATACCAGCAAAACCAACAGCATCCTGCAAAATGATTCGCTGTCAGACACTGAAGAACGTGTTAGTTGGAGTCCAACTCCCAGCGGAGATTATGAAAATAAACGCTACTCAAAGCGCCCTCTCACTGTACGAGGCCCATATGGGCAAATGTTAGAAGCCGAGCTTAAAAAGCAAAATCGAATGAATTTTGATGAAATTCTTGAAGAAATACGCGACGCTGACAGGTAAGTTGCAGTATGTGTCAATTTTCTTAAAACTAAACCGATTTCGCCATAGACTACACCCGCGTCGTGAGCATAGCATCGTTGAGAGAAATCCCTTAGTTGGCTCAATACGTAGCAATATGCCACAATATTCTAATTCCATGCGTGTACGTAAGTCAAGCGCATACTTGCCAGTACCAACGCATGCACGCGCAGCTTCGACTCCTTCGCAAATTGAGCATGTAAATAAGCCGATTTCGTTGTCTGCCAAGGATCTTAACGAAACGATATTAGAAGCTGATAAGCAGCCGCAAAATCTGATAAAACGTGCCGCGTCCGAGACACCTACACCAAAAATGCATCATAGCAAGCGTAATAATAATGAAAACAAAAGTCAACATCACCATAACCATCACTATCACTCTACCAAGCGCAATGTTGAAGGCAACAATAGTAGCAGCAACAAACCAAAGGTTCCTTATTCTGCTGACGTACCACCAACAGCAGCTTTGCTGGCGGAACTGCTTAAGGGCTCCAGCGAAAACATGCTCTCCGAGCAGCGTCAGAAAATGATTGCGGTAAGTAACGTCCTCCTTGTATCTATTGTGTACATGTTACTAAAATCAGGGCAACGTAAATTGCAACGGTGTTGGGATAACACGTATTAAATTTGGTACTTGGTATTCTCATCGCTCATTGATCTTCATCTCTGAAGTTCTTGTTTTTAATAATCCCAAAATGTGTTAGTCATTAGAAATACCGTATATGTATATACATACATAAATGGTATATTGTTGTATTATTATTATAAATATATATATGTATATATATATATAGCCTGGCGCTCATGCATGTATATATATTTGTATATGCATAAGCGCCACGTTTTATAAATATTTAGGCATGAGCGCCAGGTTTTGTATTGTTTGAAGAGCATTTGTGGAAATAATTGGAAAATGAAAATGCGAATGTGCGCATGCTCCAACAATCAATGCGCATTGGAAATGTGTCACTGTGTTAGAAGAGAGCCTCTGAAGCTTGTTTCATCTCTTTGTTGGTCGCATGCACCGTGGTTAAAGCTAAAGCTTTTTCGGCTTATTTTGTTAAGAGACTCTCCATAGTGATTAGTTGTCTAAAGAATAAAAACTTGAATATTTATAATAACTTAAAGAGAATCAGTGTTTAGTCATGTCTAATTGTACCCAGCATCTAAAAACATCAGTTGATAACAAATTTAAAAACTCGAACTCTTCATTTTTACATTTAGTAAGTTCCTGATGAGAATATGCCACAGTTCGGTCATTTGTGGTTACATTTTAAATTTTAAATTTTAATTATGCGATTGGGCAGAATATTCCTTGATAAATACAAATTTTTAGACTAATGAAAAAGCATGTTCTATGCCCATATACTCTTTCTCGGACACTTGTCGCGTGCAGACCGTAAGTTTTGTATTCCAATTTTATCGTAAGCGTTAGCCTTGCTGGGGTGGCTGTTTTCACTTGGAATATAAAAAATGGAATTTAAGTGTGTATTTGGCACAATGGAATGCTTTTCAACGTGTTGAGTAGTACACTCCTGTGCAGCTAGTTGTATGCGCCATCAACGATATGAGTATCAAACCGCATCGCACACTCGCATATCTACACACTACACACACATTTATTATCGATGCTCTCCCGCGCAGCAACAGAATCTTCTCCGCCAACGCTGCTGCGCGCGTTTAAATTCCTTGTTTGCTTTTTGTACCTCAGTTGTATAGCGAAATTTTTCGTGTTTCGTTTGTTTTATTTTGTGGTGTTGTGGAAAATAGATTAATCTTAACAGTCACTCGAAAAATTCGATAACAATAACAATAAATCAATTAAAATACGTTAAAATTCGCG